ACAAAACATTCATTTTTGAATTAGAAAAGCGCTTGATTTGAAAAGAGCCCGAGTTTTGCTTTAGCCTGTATCCCTGCTGTGTGGTATTTAGCTGCCTGCCGGGTTAAACCACAACAATCCTACGCAATTCAGACTCTATCCCGAATTCTCCTTCCTAAGAGAACAGTGAGGCTTCTTTTTTATATGTCCTAGGAAATGTTTGTCCATATATTTTTGTTTGTAACTTTACTTCAAAATGTGTAAAACCAGCATACGATTCTCCTTTAAATCCCTCATTAAATCATATGTATGCCAGAGTACTGTATTTGGAAGTGATTAATATTTTTCCTTAATGTTGTTCTTGCAGCATTCATGTCTCATAAAGCCTTGACCTTTACATGTAAGGTGCATATTAATGTAAGATCCTGTTTTTTTCACAGCTGTAAATCACAAATATTAAATAACCACCTGCTGCTCACGATAGGCTTTGAGTTCAACGCAAATTCGCTGGTCACAGGAATGAGAGGATTTCTCTGTCCTTGATTAGCTGTCCCCTCCCAGAATTATAATTCATCCCATTCACAATCATCTGCCCCTACAAACTGGCTTGGGAACAAAACCTGACGGTGTACCAACCAGCTTTCCAAGGAGGCAGGAAGAAAAGTCACGAGGAGCTTTTCTGGGAGCTGAGGGAAGCGGGATGGAGAGTGGCATCCTCACAAGCTGCGCCAACGGGCAGCAGTGGCAGAGGGGGTGGGTGGCCTCGTCTCACCACTGCCAGATGCAAGGCCAAAAAACCACTGGAACAGCCCAAATTGTTTTAGCATGGCCATCTCCAGGCCCACATCCAACCCCGGTCCCCCTCACTGGGCCTGGCCACGGCTCCCTGGGCTGGGGTGGTGGGACGGGCCCGGGCTGCCAGGCCTTGCCCTGCTGGGCCTGGGGGGGCCCCCGCCACCCTCAGGGAGCCCCCGCCACCCTCAGGGAGCCCCCAGCCTGTGCAGTCCCCTGGCACAGCTTCGGCATGGCTGAGAGCAGTGAATAAATGATCTCGCCTGATTCAGAAAAGCCTTTCGTTGAAGGGACTGAACCCGCGGATGGGGAGTAGGGCTTATTAACCCTGGTCGCTCTTTCCTGTATTTCCTGTCCATTAAAGAGGAAGGCCTGTCCCTATCTTCAAACATACTAATTTTGGATCTGGTGTACAGATAAAATTATCAGATAAAATCAAGCTGGGATGTCCCTCAGCCTCTTCACCCTCCCGTGGCCTCCTTCCTCTTCCTCCCCACGCAGGGGCCCTCCCAGCTGCTCCCTTGGGGACCCACAGCACGGCCAAGCGCCGCTTCCTCTGCTCCCGCATTTTCCATCTCCTTCACTGAAAGTTACGTTCCAGCCTTAAACTCCCACTCACCCACGTAATGCCGCCATTGAGCTCTTTCAGAGATCCATTTTCATGAGCTGGTCTCTCCTTACATGTAAGAATCGGAGGTGAGAAAATAGGAATATTTATAAAGTGATAATAAAACTGCTCAGACTCAATATATTCCAGATTGCCAGTTTAGATAATTAATAGCTGTGATTTTTTTTTTTTTATCAGGTAACATTTAGGTGCCTCAGAAGCCAGGTTTCCATTTATCTTTCTGACAGAAACATTGCTGATATTCATCCTAAATATTCCTAATTTTCTTCACGTTACTTTTACTTAGAGCTGTCTTATACTGCCCTTCATGGACTCTGCAGTCAGCTACAGCCAGCGTGCCTGACGCCCTGCAGAGAGGTATTGTAGACTTTTCCCCAGAAACTGGATTAAACCATGTCTTTTAGAAGCATTCTTAAATTCATTTGAACAACATCAAGCAGTACCCAGTTTGCCATTTCCCTAGTATGCCATGTCAAAATTCACTTACCTTCACTCCTGGGAAGCTTAGTCTTATTATTAAGGTATGATTTGTCTATTATCAGCTACCGGATCTGGTATGTTTTCTCTGTCAGGTTAAAAACATGTAGCCACGAGACTTCCTTTGGTGTTCAAGGGCATACCCATGGTAATTATGTCTCTTCTCAGCTTCTCTTGGAGAACCTGCACGCTCCCGAGTTTTTTCAGACCTCATCAGGCTTGTTCTCTGGTCCTGAAACAGTTTTAAGGCTTTCATTTAAACTACCCTTGTGTCTCTACAACTTTCTCAAAGTATAAACAGTGGGCTTGGATTCGAGGTGTGGCCTCATGGGGCACAATCACTTAGAATCATAGAATCATCTAGGTTGGAAAAGACCTTTAAGATCATCAAGTCCAACCATTAACCTAACACTGCCATCCCACCACTAAACCATGTCCCTAAGCACCTTGTCTACCCATCTTTTAAATACTTCCAGGGATGGGGACTTGACCACCTCCCTGGGCAGCCTGTTGCAGTGCCTGACAACCCTTTCTATGAAGAAATTTTTCCTAATGTCTAATGTTTCCCTACTCCTGCTGGCCACACTATTCCTTATACAAGCCAGGATGTTGTTGGCTGCCTTGGCCACCCGGGGCCACTCCTGGCTCGTATTCAGCCATTCTTTCCCACCAGCCCCCCCCCCAGCCACTCTCCCCCAAGCCTGTAACATTGCATGGGGTTGTTGTGACGCAGATGCAGGACCCGGCCCTTGGCCTTGTTAAACCTCATACAGTTAGCCTTGGCCCATCGATCCAGCCTGTCCAGGTCCCTCTGCAGAGCCCTCCTCTCCTCAAGCAGATTGATGCTCCCACCCAGTTTGGTGTCATCTGCATGCACTTTTCATGGATAGAGTTCTATTAGGTCAAGTGTCTTGACCTAATCATCATCCAACATTTTAAAGTTTTTTTTTTCCTTAACAGACTTTTGGGTAACATCATTGCCAAAGAAAAAAACTCTCTACTGTTAACATGAAGAATTCAGGATCAAGTTTGGCTTTTTGTTCTAGTACTCTACAAACTCCTGGGAAATTATTTTCTTACTTAAGTTTTGTACTTCTAAAATGTAATTATACAATTACAAATGTCAGTGATCCTGAAAGTTATCTAGAATGTCATGCTCTCTGCAGGACTGGATTCATGACTGTGCTTAAGCTCTCACAGCTGTGCTATATGTGACACTAAAGATATTCGGTATAAGAATGAGAAAATGTAAGTGGTAGGCAGGACTGCATTTTATTCGCCATCACTGAAAAGGGATGGGAATAAACAGTTGGTTCCTGCCACAAGTCACGACTGGGAGTCTTTGTACTGCTGAGTCATGTACTGCTTGACTTATTCATAATTAATCTCAATAAAAAGGGATAAAGTGACAAAATTTGCCAATGATAAAGTTAGTGAGGCTAGTAAGACTACCAGCAAACTGTGAAGAACTGCAGAAAGACATGTAAGACTGATTAGGAAATAAAATGGCAGATGCAATTCAGCATAGGTAAATAAAAAATGATACACATGGAGATAAACAACCATAGTTTCACACATGAAACAATAGCCTTTGAGCTGCTTATTACCACTCAAGAGTAAGACCCTGCAGTTATGATAGATAATGCCATGAAAATAGCTTAGTGCTCAGTTCAAATTAAAAAAGCAAGTCAAGTATTAGGAATGACTAGGAAAGGAATAAAAAACAAGAAAGTAAACAAACAGGCCAGTACTTAACTACATGGCTAATGCTACATGTAGTTTTGGTTCCCTTTTCAGAAAATAACACACGAGACCCAGAAAGTTGTAAAGGACAAAAATACAGAAGCTATTCTGTGTCTTTAGTCTGCCAAGAAATATGTTGACTAACACATTTCAGTTTAGAAAAGAGGAAATTTCAAGGTGAATGTGTTATACATCTGCAGAATTGTGATTGGCACAAACATAATCAGTAAAGGTTTACTGTGCAGGGAACATCAAATTAAGCTAGTAAAAATCAGCTTCAAAATAAACAAGAAGTGGCAATTCTTTATGCAACAGACATCAACTGATAAAGGCTGCTGTTACTCAGGAAGTGTATATAGTCCAAGGGAAACTGGACAAGTACTGGAAAAAGAAGCATTGGGGATTACTAAATGGACAAACCATATGATGTTCAGGAAAGCCTGGAATAGAAGCCACTTGGAAGCTAGAAGAGCACAGAAGGAAAAGCAGCAGATGTGCTTGCATTGTTCTTATCCTTCCTCAGGCATCTGCTTTTGACTACGAAAGAGCCTATTGTGTTAGGAAAAACTTTTGGTCAGGACCTGCATAGCTATTTCTTTATCTTTTCAAGAGTTGCAAGAGCATGTAAGAAAGCAGCACAGAGAAAAAAAGCACATGCTGTCTGCTTGGCTTCTTACAGTTAAATGTAGTAGAAGGCTCTGTGTGTTACAGACACAGCCAAGGCTTCTCAGCCATCAATGCTAAGTCTGAGTGCTCATGTTTGCACAGTGGGGATGCTAATAAAGTGACTTTTATTTTACAGCATAGAAACACTTCCAGTATGAAATTTCCTACCAGAGGAATTTTCTTTTTTTTTTTTTTTCTTACCAGGAGGAAGAAAATATTCCTTCTATTTGTTCTGGATGGTACCGCAAATCAAAAGTGATCAGGAGTTCTGTTATACCAACTCCTAAGCACATTTGTTCCGCCCAGTATTGTGAAAGAAACTTTCCCAAGTATGCTGAGGAAAAGTATATAGACTCTCTAAGGAATCACAGATCTGCCAATTTTAAGAAACATCTCTTCCCTGCTTTCAGCCCACATCTGCTAAATATTCAACCTGACATGGTTTGCATTTCATTTTGTAATATGAACTATTTAGTTTAACTAGTATTACCATTTAGTTCCATGTAATAATGAAAACAATGCATTTTTAGTTTCATATCCATCAAATCAGATTTTTGAATGTCAAAAACGTGCCCCACTTCTATAATTCTGCATGACAAATGGTCTACCAGCAAACATCTCAGTGCATAAAACCAGTAAGTTTATTGATGGTAAAACAGTAGGTGCAACTTAGTGCAGATCAAGAATTTTACATAAGTTGCTCTCATTTTGCATTTCCAAGCTGGTTTTAAGCATTTCGAGGATATAGAACTAAAACTGAAATTAAGCTAGTAAGTTAGAAAAACACCTGGAAATACATAAATGCAAAGTAATCAAGAGAGTGACATCTGAGGGAAGTCATCAGAATTCCTGCATCGTCCAAAGATGCGGCAACAGAGGAAAATAAAAAGCATCAGCAGAAACATCGACTTTAATAGCATTTCATAATTATTTTGGGCACAGTTGCTGTAGCCAAAATTTTCAGAGTCTAAATTTTGCAAGTGGCAACTCAGAGACTTGGATGTGGCTCCTGAAAACAGCAAGCATGCTCCCCAGTCCTTTCATTTTTGAGATGCAGCACTGAGTCTAGATAAAGATAAGTAGAAGAGCTAATTGCTAATTTGTGTTGATCTGACCTGGTGCTTTCATGACATTTTACTGACTTTTCAGATTTCCTAGGATAAATTTAATTGTTGGTATCTTTTCATACTACGGATACCTTAATGTTTTCAAAATGTTTTTAAATGTTTTCAAAAAAACCATTACACCCAGTATTCAGAAGTTGTAAATCTGAAGTTAAAATCCTTTGTAAATTGGTGTTGTAAGCGTTCATACAAGTGAGAAAACTGATAATACTTAAAAGTCCCCCACCTTGGTTATCCAGAATTTCAGAGCATCCTCCTGAAACGATTTTTTGGCCAGGCTAACTGGAAATAATGGTGAGTGATTCAGTATAACATAAATATTTTTCTATTCTCTCTGCCAGCCATATGAAGTATTTAGCCTCCTTGATCAGTTTTTGTAGAACTATAATCTAGAGCGCATATGATGTAAACTCAAAGTAGAAAGAACCTTTTTGTCTTAAAAAATATAAAGTTTGGCTTAACTAAGATTCTAGGTTTATTTCCAAATGTGCTCCACCCTATTAACCTTGGGAGGTTACTTTAGGTCCCATTAACACTACAACTTGAAACCAGGCTAGCAAAAAATTGAAAAAGCTTAACCAGCAGCAAATGAAGGATACGCAACAAACTGTTTTCCTATGAAGTAGAATTCCTGGATGCAAGGATATTTACTGGAAAATAACATGATAAACAGTTTATTGTACATACTATAAACACTTGTTTTGGCATCAGTAAAGATTCCTAGTGTTGAATTAGAAGACATTGCTATACCAAATGACTTTTTAAGACTTATTGATTCCCATCAACCAAATCCAATGTTTCTCTCATATGCTATGACTAGGAAATAACAATACAGCCTTAATATTAGGTCTAGTAGTCAGAACAAATTTAACTAATGCAGCATCTGAACTCCATGAAATATTCTATGTAATCTAGAATTTAAATTTACATACATTTCTGCATGGATAACTGAAGTTCCCTTGTTATCCAAGTTAAAAACACTTCTTCCAGCAATTTGGATCAAAAGGACAATTCATTACCTACATTATCAGAAGTGCTTTATTTCTTACTTTCAGATTGAGACTTAAGTCACTACCACTCTAATTAAAATAAAGTCAGGATGGGCTTCATTCCTATCTGGTCCATAAAGCAAAGCTAAAATTGTACTTGTAGTTTTTCAAAGCAAGAGATAAAACCCAGGATATATTAGCACTTCTACAGGATGCAGTAACAGTCTATACTCCTTATAACAATATTCGTTGCTACACACTAGTAAGTTCAGCAAGTGTGCAGCATCTGACATGGTTTAAAAAATACTGGATGCCAAAGAGCAGCAATTGCACTATATTCACAAATAGTTCACAAAAATACCAAGTAATGAGATTACTGATGAACTTCTCTTATTAAAAAATTTTCAAAGCTATTCTATACATAATTCTTTTCAAGACGATTATAGAAATATTCTGAAACCTTTGTGCACACACTTATTTCACTTTTTCTTCTGAATAGTGGCAATCTTCAAAGTCTCTGTTAACTTTTAACTTGGCATTCTTCTCACGCAGAGATCTTCTCCTGTGTCAGCCTGTCATATTTTCAGCTGCCTAGAAATAGAAATAACATTTACTGCAAGTCACCAAAAGTAATGTAGATTAAATTTAATATTTTAACTATTTTAATTTATCTAGAGAACTTAAAAGTCTAAAAATAAGCTACTTATGAAAATTACGATGTGTAGTGTTGTTTTCTAATTAATATATCTATTTTTGTTAAATAACACTGTCAATTGCCATTAGCCTTTATTAACATAGCCATTACTGTTTGCTTCTGTTAAATTACATATCCTGTATCTGAGCGGCTTGTATCCTCTATTTTATCATAATGCTTTCAAGAAGTGCTCAAATACATGGTTTGTTTTTTTTTTCATTTGGAGTTTACTTCTTTATACAATTTATGGTAATTATTACTCCCAGTCATACAGATAAATTATTGACACAAAACTTAGAAGAATGACACTAATCATAACTGCATAAATCACACTGTCAATTATTTTATCCTGGTCATCAGCAAGTATTCTTATTACTGAATGACTCAACCCAGCCAACAAAATACAGTTGTTGGAGCGTGACATTGGTGGGCTTAAAGTTACAGGACAAACAGGCAAAGGATAGCAACAGGAACGATAAACCCATAAGAGCAAAGGAAGCAGCAAAACAACCCTCAATTACTTACATATATATAGTTAAACATATATGTATGCACACATTTAAGCATGTACACAAATATAAAATACACATGAGTGCAGAAAAATGTTAAGTTAAAAATTAAGTAAAAAAATTTGAAAACTGGTGAAAAATAGCTCTGAGTAGCATCCATCTAGTCAAAGATCTGCAAGTTGAATTTTCTAAGAATCAGAATGCAGTCTTCCAGAACAGAGATAGGCAGGGTAGATATAGTTTTCCCCTCCACCTTCTCAGAAACAAATATAAGATACAGTGGAAAAGAAATAATGATGTTTAGGTAGACAGTAAAGAATGAAAATCCTTTAAAAGGCAAGTGAGGGGTTATTTTTAAGCCATAGCTGCCCTCTCTACTAGCTAAACAGGTAAAAGCTAGGTCATAAAAAGCCCTGTACACACACAGAGAGCCCATGAAAACCCCTCGTTTGTCTTTGTAGAGATTCAAAGCACAGGCTAGCGTGGTAAAAGCAATATGCGAAGATTACATTAGCAAGCTGCATGTACCTGTTTACAAGTACCACTGCATACTATTAAGCCTGAGATTGCAGAAATTAGGTGATACGGATTAAAGGAGAAAGTCGCAATCTATTTGTGACATGATGTAGATAAGGGGGCAAACTGTGGCTACGAATGTCCAGAATAAAAATCTGCAGGGTTTGGTTATTGAGGTTTTTTTTAGCTTCAGAAGAGTTAATCTAATTATTTCTGAAAGTATTTTATTTGTACCATTTCTTGCTTCATGTTCCATTCACTTATATTCATTGCCTTTTTTACGGAACAGTTAATTTCCTTGATTTAAAAATGAGTCGTATCTTAAAATACAATTAACAAATTGAAATAGAACAAGTTGAACATACATCTGACTAAAACCCAAATTTATAAACTAAACAAAAGCATTACCTTTAGAGCTTCTGTAGCCTTGCGCAGTTCTTTAATAACAGATGATAATGCTTCTGGATTTATCCCCTGTTCACAGAGCCGCACACAAATAGACAACGTCTCCATATCCAAGCCAGTGTTTAATATTCTTGAAATCTCAAACAGAACTGCAACAGAAAAAAACCCGAAAGCTCTTCAGTCCCTGCAGACTATGAAATTTCAGTGATTGAAAATGTTATTCATAAGCATTTCACTTCTACAGCAGAGTCTGAACATAGCAGTTGTGGAAAACTCTTGCAGTCTGAACCTCAACAACAGCATTCATGTTAAGCTAGAAGCCATAGCTTCTAACATAACAATACTGGGTAATGGGTCTTGAAAAATTAAAAAAGTGAAGAATTCAATAATTAACATGCTTGCCAATTACATAAAAAGTAGGCTATAGGAATAATCTGTGCTTTTGAACTCCGAATACTGACAAAGTCATACTAAGATGGACTGGAATCACATTCTTAAAGCTTTTACAGAGCATGTGAGGAGTTTTCTAGCCACCTCCTTCCATTACTAAACCTGGCTTTAGGTCTAATGTTAACACTGGTTTAAGGATACGCAATACTATTTGATTTTTACGTGACCTGAGTCAAGGGTTTGTTATGTATGTGACGAGGCAACTCACTGAAATTTTATTTCTGGTTGCTACAGTAATCTCCATCCTGAGGCTAAGCCCCTAGCAATGCAGGTTGATTTTGAACAGATGTTATTCACACTGTTCCTGTATTCAAACCTCCCCCAAGCAAGGAGAAAGTGAAGCAGAAGGCCTTTTCTTGCCACGCAAAAGCAGCAGTCCACTTGACAGCTATGAAAATACTCTGCTTGCGTATACCAAGGACATACTGCAGCACACCCTCCCAGCCACACTCACCCAAGCCTAATGCAGCCAGTCAATTCCACTGAAGTCACAGGGAAGTGTCAGGCACTATGAAAAAAGAACCCTAAAGAGCGATAATACTCTTGAAGCTCACACAAGTAGGTTGGATTAAGAATACGCACAAGTTTAAGACATGAAAGCAGTTTGTCAGACCAAAGCCTTAGCTACAAGCCACAAGGGGAGCTTTCTTCACCACAACAAGGCTTTCTGTTCCCACTGGCTTGAAAGCAAACCCTTCCAAGCACATTATACACGCATACCCTGTCCACACGAAAGCATCTTCAGCAGCTAGATAAAACAACAACAAATTGATATATTTGCAATAAAATGCCATTGAACATTAAGAGCCACAGAACTAAGAAAGACTGACAACTTCCCAGAAATAAACAATTCTTACTTTCTTTAACCATTTAAATTTTATCATAAAATTTACTAAGCATGTGACATATTTGAAGGCAGAACAGTAAGTCTAACACAAGATAAGCTCCCAGTTTCCTTTGTCAGCAAGAGTTGTGGTCACTCATTTCTAATAGGAAATATCTTCAGGTGTTGAGGCAGCATCTTTGGCAGAGAGATGTAGCAGTTTCCCCACAAAAAAATCTGAGCTCTTAACAACAATTCTGCAGAGAACAGCTGCTAAATAATTATATCTGACATTCTAGATTAAGCATTTTACTTTTCTAAGCTACTAAAAATAGAAAGGAACGGGTTTTTTTAATACCAACACATTTGCTTTCATTAGGCTCCTATTTCTTATGCAGTAAGTTAAGACGCAACACAGATTTCATGTTCTATTTTAAAAAGGTCTAAAAAAATTACCCTACAAATATCTTTTTCTGCTCATTACGATGGGTCCTCGTCAAAAAAAATCTAATTACATGGACACAACTATCATAGTGCTTTACATTTTCAGTTACTTCATCAAAGCACTTGAAATATTTTTATAATAGAAATTTCAAAAGATTAATGCTATTTTGAACATTAAAAGTACCCAAAACAATTTATTTAATGAACACAGCAGAAGTTCAAACATAAGGGTATTTCTAAGACTCTGCTTACCTAAATTTTTAAACATCAAGTGTATTTTTAAGTTAATGGAAATCTGTTTTCTTCTAAAAACACCTGAACTCAGATAGAGATTAAGTTATGAATATCTACCCTAAATAAAATTCACACATCGTTACACAAGAAGCTGGGCTCCTAAATCTGAAGGCTAGCACACTTTCCATAGCAGTTCTCAAAAGCCTGCTTTGTCTCTAAATCTGCGTATCATCCCTCCCACCAACAATGTTCCTGCAGAAGGGGAGAGGGGGTAGGTGTCAAGTGCAGTTACGAGAACTTAGCATCACTGTCCTTCCCCAAACAAATCTCTCTCCATCTGCACAGAATGGTCTTATCCTCCTGAAGCATCAGAGCAGCCATAATAATCGTGCCAGTCCTTCCTTGCCTCCAGCAGCAAGTCAGAGCAGGTAGGTCAGCAGCTGAAAAACTAATTTTTACACCAGTTCAACTCATGGAGGTCTTCACTAAAAAGCCATAGCTATAATACAAGGGAAGATGGTGAGAAAGTAGCAAACGCAAAGCAACACCACCCTGAACACTCTCCCTAGCCTCTAGTCCCTCACCAGGGCATTTCCAGAGAAAGTCTTCATATTATGAACAACCCTTCGGGGATTTCCTCGCAGCTTTCCACTCTGCCTGAAATGCGTATAAGCTTTTGGCATCACCATTCTGTGGAATTCCAGAGTTTCACACTATACATTACTAAGAAATACCTCCTGAACCTGCCAGCTTTGATTCCTCATAGGCTGGAAAAGAAAGCAAACATCTGATCTTTACTCACGCTGCTCACATTTGTCACAGCTTATAAAACTCTGAAACTTTTCTTGCTACTCCCAGTGCCACTTCTCTCACGCTCCCCATCCCACAACACCACCAGGTTTTTTTGTATCAGAAAATACTCTAATTCTGTAATACTGACTGCCATTCTCAAAGTTTTCTTGCTTTCGGTTTTGGGGGTTTTTTTGTTTGTTTTGGGTATTTTTTTAGTAATTTACTTTGGGTTTTTTTGATATGAGCAGCCCACACGAACAAGACACTGGGGTTAAGATCGGCTGAGGTTCCGCCACTTAAAGCTTCACAGGGTTGGTCCCTCCTCTCCCTTCCAGGCGCTTCCTTCCCTCCAACTTAAATCCCAAGGCACACAGAGCCAGGTACCATAATTTGCATCAAGCATTTCAAACAATGCGAAAGAATAGCGAGTGTAGGTATTCATAGATAATTTTTTTAAAAGTTATTCTGAATTAAATGCTTATCAAGCTAATTTGAAGAAGAAAAGTCACACGAGTTCTATAGATACTGGCAACACACGCATATTTGAAGCGTCTCAGACATTACGCGTTCACACGAAGTAAAAAGAAGTTGCCACACCCTAAATCGTTAAGCAATTGCAAACCGCGATCCCCTTCCACAGGAGGGGCGGTTGCGTTAATGAAAAGGCGGCTCAAGGCCCCGCAGCCCGCGGAGAGGGGCGAGG